TTGTTTGTTGCTTTTATCATCCATCTATATTGAGTATCAATAGGCCATTTTTCTTTATTATACAATTCTTTTGATATCAAATTGATTTTAAAACTATGATCAATCAATGCTACAACTAGTTCCTCTAAATCTCCCAATTTTATCAAAGTTTCTGTAAAAGCTCTTGCTCAATGACTTCTTAAATAATGACTAGAAGCTTGAATGACATCATTCCTTTCTATAAATCTTACTCGTAAGACATCTCCAAAATTTTGTATTTTATCTTCTTCATCTTTGTTGCTTTCCATTGTTCTTGTTCTTTTTGCACTTCATAACATAGTGTCTCCTATAGATTGTCATTTACTCCTTATTGTATCAATAATAATTTCATGAAATTCACACATTGTAATTCTTAGAATTTTATCAATTGTGAATTCAACCTTTTTACTTAAATTTGCTCCTATAAATACCTTCTTTAAATCTATAGTAGCTTCAATATTTGATTGTAATTTATAAGCAAGAGCCTTTGTTTTTTTTTTTTTTTCTTTTGTAGAAATATTCTCTATTATCTCTTCATATATAGGATTCTTTTGTTGTTGTACTTTTTCTCTCTTTGTAGTTAGGCCCTTCATTTTTTTCATCTCTCATTTGCATTTCTTCTATTAATGCTTCATGTTGACTCCTTGCAATATGAGCATGTACAGATAATCCATCTACTAGATCATTCCATTCATTAATTTGTCAAATATTATTACCAACATATTTTAAATCATTTCTAGTAAATTTTTTCCTTACAACATAACTCATTACACTTGTCCACAAAGAACTAGATTTTTTTAGAAATTCAAGATTTATATTTAAATATTTACTAGGATTTGCTTCCATCCAATATACTGATGCTTCATTGATTGAGATTGTATGCATTTTAAAAGTATATCTTACAAATATCTTCATTCTTCTATTATCAAAATTTGTTTCTAATTTTTTTCCACTTTCTTTTAAGTGTATTATACCATCTTTTAAAAAAACAACTCTTTTACATAGTACCTCTATAAAATCCTCATATTTTCTTCTTCAATGATCTATGCTATCACACCATATGCACCTATGCACTATACCTTCCATTGGCCCTAATCTTTGTCTTGTTGATATTCTTGATGATTGGCCCTTCTCTTCAACTTTTGTAAATTTTATTTGTAAATCTCTCATCTCCCATATGATTTCATCGATTTTCATTTCTTCTTTCTTTGATGTAATCATTGAAGGTTGAATCAAAGATGTTGGATGGATATTAGACATTTTTACCTTATGTCAAGGACTAGAACTCAATGACAAAACAATTCAAATAAGTGAGCCTTCACTCAAAGAGAGGTAACAAAATATATATAAACAAGTATATATATTGAAAGAGAAACTGGAATGGCTATTGCCAAAAGACAAGAAAATTAGAGACCCTTTAAACTAGACTAGAAGCAAGAAAAGAGTTGACAAGAGTGAAGAAGCCTTCACTCTTGTCTCTATATATACTATCTAACTAGGGGCTACGTGGCAATGTTCTATAGGACCTCCAATATGTGTTGACTTTGTAGGACACATGCTTTGACTTACAAGGCAAGTTCTTCTACGTGTGGGCCACATAGTTAGTTTGATCTTCAAGCTAACTACATGTGTGGCACATGGCCAACTTGTTGTCCACGTTTCTAATCCAAAAAGTCAATTAAAGTCACCTATGAAGTCAAAGCAATGTCTATAAAGCTTCTAAGAAGCTTCTATATTAAATACTATAGAATTAACTTACTTTTATCTATTTTTATTTACTTCTACCTATTTATATATGTAATTACTAGATTATGTCTATAACACCTTAGATGCATGTAATGGTCTTTGAATATCTACCCTATCATTTTTCCTTTTTCTTTTTTGTCAACAACCCTACTACCTCTTCAACTTCGTTTCAATTTTTTGTCAATCCTTCATCATCTTCTTTATCTTCAAGCAAGATTTTCAACTTCTCTTGCAACTCTCTATCAGTTGCTTGAAGAAAGAGCTCCACTTTACTTGGATCCAATAATTGCCTTTTCTTCTTTGATAATGAAGAATATTACTTATCAAACTCTCTTAATAATTTTTTTGCTAAAAGACCCTTCTATGGCCTTTCAATCCATTCAAAAAAATATTTCTTTGTAATATGATCACTATCTTCCAAAAAAAACTCATCCTTCAATGCTTGAGATAATTTATTCCATGAACCTCCAAAATGTCCTATAATAGACCTTACATGATTTCTTCTCTGAGGTGCAGTAGCTAATTCAAATAATTGAACCATCTCCCTTTCTAGAACACGCTTCAATTCTATTTTTTATACATAGTACCTTAAATACTTTGTAATATCCTTTCCTTCAAATTGATCAATCTCATCCACAACTACTTGTAATGTTTTACTTGCCATACCTTCTTTGCGCTCTTTAAGCTGTTGCTATTGAATCAATAAGGTAAAAGCCTCAATTATGCTTGCAAAATTGGAAAAAAAATACATACCTTGTCCTCTACTAGTACCTCCACTTGTAGCTACAATTGAAGCACCATCTATAGCTCCTCCTTCAATTCTCTTGCCTTCTATTTCTATAATTCAAATAACCTAAGAAATTTTTCAAATACCTTCCACTTCAAGCTTTTCACGTCGGTTTCACTACATATGTCATAATACATAAAGTATTGCTTGAGAGTACATCAAGCATCTAGTTGTGGAAAGTAGAATGGAAATTGTAATAATGTTTTTTAAATTCTAATAGAATATTAAATAAACTATAATTAAACCATAATAATACTAAATAAGCTTTAATCAAATTCAAAAGAAACATTAAAGAAATTACAAAAGAAAAAATAAGAAATCTTAAAGGAATTGAAAGATAATCTATAATAAACCTTAAAAGAATACTTAAGAAGTCTTAAAAAATATTAAAATAATCACAAATATATCTTAAATAAATTTTAATTAGTTTTAATTTAATCCTAATTGAAATCCAAATGGACTTCAAACAAATACTAGACAAATCTTAAATCCTAAACTAAACCATAATCAAACTTGAAACCAAATCTTAACCAAATCTTAAACCCTAAACTAAATCCTAACCAAATCTTAAATCCTAAATCAATTCCTAATCAAATCCTAATCAAACCTTAAATCCTAAACCAAACTTTAGACAAATCGTGAATCCTAAACCAAACTTTAATCAAACCCTAAATCAAATCTTAACCAAATCCTAACCAAATTCTAACCAAACCTTGAATCCTAAACCAAATCCTATCCAAATCCTAACCAAATTCTAAATCCTAAGGTAGTTTAGAACCTCAATATCTATTGATTAAACCATTGATTTTGTTTAAAAATTTACACACCTCTCAATCTCTTAGTTACAAATAAGTACAACAAATTTTAAAACAATTGTGTTTATCAATTGGAAGAAAAATCCTAAAATCGGCTCAGATGTTGGCTGGCCTCCTTCCCCAACCTTAATGCTAATCTTCCAGTGCTAATATCTCTCTTTTGCATCGTTAAATTTATTTCAAATTTCTCATATACATAGAAAAATAATTTTATTCTCTATATACATAACTTTCACTCCAATCCAATTAATAAATTGCAAGAAATCTTAGAAACCCTCACTGGACCTAAAATTCTACTTTTTGAGATCCTAAATTACTTAAACCTTAGTATTCTTCAATTCAACCATTAAATCAAGCTAAAATTTTCAACACATATTGAACAAAATTATAACCATTGATCTACAAAATTTCATTTGTAGATCTACTATAAAATTCTTGAAACTACCCAAAATATTAACCTTCTTTTATTTCACAAAAATCCAGGTCATTCAAAACAATATTGATTTGTAAGGCTCTTACAAAGTCATTACAAATCTAAATTAAACAAAACCAATGGTTATAAAAATCCTATTAAGTCTGTTATCAAACTCCACTCTTTGATCTCCAAAAGAGCTTTTGAATTGCCATAGGTGTACGGTTTTGTGCATTAGGGTCTCATTTCAACCCAAGTTGACAATTGGTTCTCTTCTGGTATCAATTCTTGGATTCTTGTGGTAAATTTTGCTAAAATCTACTCTTAACTCCTTCTTACACATGCTTATATCATTTCATTTTCTAATTAACTTTATTTTACCTTATTTATGGCCCTACAAAGCAAATAGAAGTCCATTTTGTAAAAGGAAATATTAGTATTTTTTAATTTTACTACCCTTTTTACTATTATCTATATTTCTAAGATAATTTGCTATAATATTTTGAACTAAGAACTTCTATAATATAATAATTTCCTCACTCTTTCACCTAATAGACGTATTTCATCATGAAAATGTGGCTTTGTAGTATTTCTTATTTTATTTTTGTTCCATTTTACTATTACACACTAGTTATCTATGTTTGGTTCTTGTAATTCTAGAACTAAAGATTCTTAAACCCCTCTAACTAGATCAAATACATACTCACTTAATATTTGGATCATACCATACAATTTGGATCTATATTCACCTCCAAATTTGCTTGCAAGTGATTGCTATACAATCTCCTAGAAAGTTGCAATACTTCTCTAATTGTAGAAATCTAATGCACTCTCAAAAATGTCAAAAATCACTCATTTCCATAATTTTGGATCACTAAAGTGCAACTTTGGATTTCACAAATCTCCCTCCTCTACCACTCGCTCTATTCTACGCTCGCTTTGTTCTACGCTCTACGATTGAGCTATACCTCTACATATGCTGATCTAAAGCAAATTTTATTATTTGGTCCTTAATGTTAAATTTAACTATCTAGATCCTAAAACACATTTTTAAATATTCAGTTTTATATTTCTTTTTCTTTTTATTAAAGTCATGGCAAGTAAAATAAATTATTTACTTATTACTTTAAAAATATATATATAATCTTAGTATAAGATTATCTCCCAACCAAAAATCATTATTTCCTACAAAAATATACATATCTCCATATCCATATCCATATAAGCAAGTATTTTTATTTTTTTTAACAGCATGTGAAATCAGATTTTATTAAGACAGTCTCTCCACAAAGAAAGATGAGCTCACGTGGGACTTCATTCCTTCGACACACTCTCACCGACAATCCTTGGCTAACGATCCCTTCCACCGACAAGGCCATGGTCAACCATTCCAACCACCGACCCGTCATCACTCACCCGTTCGTTTTACGCTTATGATGTGAGTCAAAATCAAAAGTATTTGAAATTGAACCACACGCCTCGGCTACTCCGCCCCCCCCTAAGCAAAGTCTAAAACAAAGGATAAAAAGAAGAAGGGATAAACAGCTAAAAGATAGCAAAAGTACAGTAAAAAATCAAAATTGCAACTAGAGCGTGGCACTATAAGTGATGGACGTAGCGGGCAACCACTCTTGGCCCGCGATGAAGCTGCTCACGGTGAACTTTGACGCCTCGGCAATGGAGATTTGTTTGCTCCAGGAGACGCGCCGCGCGGTGTCGGCACCAGGGCCCGAATTCTGGTACTCCGCGTAAGTAACACTGTTGCCGGAGTTGGGATCGTTGTTCCACAGCAACCAACCCTCCGGGTTAACACATGCTGCGAGACTGGACTTGATGAACAGCGTTCGCGAATACGCTTTCCATGGTCGACCTAGATAGGTCGGGAATGAATCTGCTAGCCCCGGTGCCGCTCCCACCGTGCACGATAAGAAGGAGAATCCTGTGTTCTCTGATGGGTCGGTTCGCCCACTGGCTGTGTAGATGTTTTGCGAGCTGGCCATCCCTGGTCTAGCGAAGAGGTTGCAGCTCTGAAACACCGCGGCTGCATTGCCGAAGATGAAGTCGATCGTGCCGTAGATTGAGCACTGGCTATAGAATTGGCGGAGAGTGTGGGCGTAGAGGGTGTCCTGCGACGAGAAGAAACACGGTTATCAGAGGGTGACGTGTGAAACCCTGGAGCTAAGCTCAGTTCTGACAGCTTTTGGGTTTTAGTTGATACCTGGTAACCCTCGAGGAAAACGTTTGCGTAAGCTTGCTGGTCTCCTGCAGCTCTCAACGCTACCGCTTGCTCTCCAACTGGACCTGCTGTGTTCTGTATAGTCAAGTCTCTCAGGATGGTGCCTGGAGCACGTATTTCTGCAAAATGAAAGAGAAACCAATACGTTCAGAGTTAAGAGGGATTATTAGACCTGGGTGGAAATTGACAAGGAATTCAAACCTAGCATATCACACCCGGACATGGGTCCCAATTCTGTCCATTCTAGTCAATGGAAGGCCTTATCAGCATCTCTGTAGAGTCGGTGGTAAAAACAATAAAAATTTGGACAACAATGTAGAGGGTGGAGAGAAGCTACCGAAAGTTGCAGTATACATTGTGCTCAATCCACTGCCTTTCACGCTTCTGCTTCCGGTGATGACAGTCTGCCCTGGTCCATCGCCATACATCATCAGATTCTTCTTGTCCTTGGGTATACTAATATACTCATTGTACACCGCCTTCTTAACGTAAATCACCCACCGGGTTCCACCAGATGGTGCTGCGTTCACCGCAGCTTGTATGCTCTGGTACTGCCCTGTGCCATCTTGTGCAACTACAGCATTGGGTGTTGGCTTCTCTTGAAGCAAACGACGCCCTTCTCGAGAGAGCCAGCGAGGAAACTCAGGACCCAGAGAAATGTCATCTTCCATTTCAATCAAGGCATGAGTGAAGTCGCTGGAGCTTCCAGGAGGACTTGGTTGGGCTAATAGGCGTCGGCTTTTGCTAGGAAATAGTTTGCTGAAGTCGGTTAGCCTTGAAAGAGAGTTGACAAGGGACAAACCGTTGCTAAGAAGCTGGGCAACGTGTGTGGCTTGGGTTCCGTTCAGTTGATCGCTTCCGTCCCACACGCCAAAATCCTGCACTCCCGTCATACATGTGTCTTGGTACGTTAGGGCAGCAGCCATGTATTGCTGGATGTTGCCCACCTCAGATTTCAAGCTGGAGTAGTGCTTCAACTCCACGAAACGAGACAAAGAAGAGTTTACTTGCTCCAGGGAATCAGCTAGCACGTCTTTACACATTTTTAGGGTTGAGTACTGGATTCCGGTTTTCTTCGGCGATGACAGCTGCAAATCTTCGACCGCCTGCAAGGATTTGGATATGGCTACCATGGCTGCTTTCATGGTTGCCTCGATGTACATCTGCGGACTGCTGGTGTCTGTGCCTGCGAGAGTACTGTTGCAAACTTCTGGGTACCTGCAGAGCTCGCACCCATAGAAAAAACACATCTAAGTCCGCACCTCAGTCTTAGATACAATGCAGAAAACTCAGCTGGGAGAGGCTCACAGTACTTGCAATGGAAGTACTTACAAAGTTCTTCTGCAAATACTGCTCACGGAGTTAGCGTTGTCCACTTCATCTCTCGACTTGAATTGCTTGGAAACGGTTACTCCGATCACCGTTCCAGTCACCACAACCAACACTATAAACACCATGCACGCGCTCAAGGCTATGCATCCCTTCTTAGAGGCCTTTCGAGGAGGCGTCATGTTTGACAACGGCATCATCGGAGTGAGAGTTCTGCCAGCATCGCCGTCGCTCAAGTCCACCTTCTTGTGAGACCGCTTAAATGCTCCCAATGCGGACACTACGCTTCTGGCTTTACGCCACAACCTCTCACCCCCTCCATCCCCCTCCATTCTGCCCATAGAGACTCTCCGATGCTTCACTCCAACACCGTTGCTCCGAACTTGGCTATGGTTACTGACAAACTATTTCCTCCTCACAACTCGGTACCTGCAGTGGAATGTTACAAATCTCGAGGAGAACCTGCAGTGAAATAGCAATCATTGCATCAACTTACAAAAAAAAGCGCGGAATGAGCTGCCTACGAAGATAACAATCTCAAAAACACGGTTCTCTCCCACCCCAACACCGCCACTGGATGCCGGAGTACGGCGGCATCATGTGAGGGGGGCGACAAGCTATGCCGAGTAGATAACATTCTTAAAACTGTTGCACAATTCTGATATTGAGGAGAATTAGTAGTAACAACAGATTACTTGCAAATGAACGCAGCTTGGTGATTGTGCCCAGACGTCGACAGCTACACCAAGGGTGGTGTCGAGATAGTGAACCTGCAGCTGGGCCCCTGCAATTCAATACCATGCAAGGACTGTCATTCTAGTGGTGACTATGTTCATACTCACATACAGACTCACAGACTGAGATATCACATCTGACTGTCTCCCGGCTCTTGTCCACATGTATAAGAGTACCCAGTGGGATGGAGGACGAGTTTGTGGCCATGAAGTTGCGAACACAAAGTGCATGAAGGTGGTGGCTAATTTAGTCAAGTGATTGCGACCCCGTAATATTTGTTTTGTGAGCTAAGTTTGACCACATCGATGGTTTATCTGGGTGTAAAGATCAGTAAACAATAAACTCTTGATCAGTTAAAAACCAAATCTCTTGATTTTTTCGAAATTGCATGAAGGCTATGCGAGAAGTGGATATAACCCAGTTTTGGATGCTTTTGCTGATTGTTGGCAACCATTTGAGTAGAACAGTCCCACTCCCTTTTACAAAGAAACGCACTCTTAAATAACAATAATAACAGTTGCAAAGTCCATTTTGTAAATCTTAAACTATAAGTAAGAATACTCTTGATTGATTCTCAACGACAAACAATACTCGATGGTATTAAAAATGTCTGGTTTCTATGCCGCCATTGAAACAACACGTATGAGCCAGGATGGTAAGAAACGAACCCAAAATTTCACACCTGAGAAGCAACTACAGCACGCATTGAAAACCTCGACAAATCCCCGGAAAGTCTTCGACTTGAAATGAGTAAATGGGGATTTGCAGACAAATGGAGGAACACGTAAATACCGCTACAGCTGCAGCTGCCGATTCCCGATCTCCAGACAGAGATGGATAGGATCCACTGATGATGAGCTTCGTGTAGTAATTCATCTGTTAGTTGATGTGTCAGTGTGCCAGTGTGTGTGCGCGGGAGTGTGGGAGTGATGACTCAAGCACATGCTTGTGGAGTTTAGGACTTTCATGGTTGCAACGAAAGTTAGGTTTCTGATAGCTGTGCTTACTTTTGCACACTATTCAGAATTGCTGCTGCAATGGATACACACTGTTGGCTCCGATTCCAGCTGAGCAGATGAGCATGCGGTGAAGGCAACAGCGAGTCCCTGTCGAGAGCGTTGTAAAGTATGAGTTTGACATTGAGTATTTATATAAAACCTATATTATAAAACCTTACAGCAACAAAAAAAAATTGCGTATATTTGTGTATAAGTGTGTATGATTTACTATCATATCAAGAAATATTGTATGTAATGATACTGGAGAACTGTGATAAGGACATTAACGATTTTATTTCATATACTGGATATAGTGATAAAATTCTAAAATTCTAAAATTCTACTAAAATAGGACACGCATGATAATATTATAAAACATGCGAAAATTAATTTACTCAAGTATAACTGTAATAATTTCATTCATCACACTAAATGACTATATTCATAAATCATTCAACCATATGTTAATTCAGGACTTGGAGTAGCATTCAGAAGTTAGTTGCTGTAGGTTAGAGATGAGAAATCCACGTTGAGGCTATAGAGACCTAGGCTCAAATGTCATCAGCCATGTATTCGGTAAAGCAGGTAAGTTTTGTATACCTTGTGAAGGTTAGTTTTCCAAAATGCCTAGTTGTGAAACCTCCCAAATATCTTTTGTATATGTTTGATCGACTCCTAGAAGTGTTTTTTTATGGAAACGGAAAATGTAGTACTGTCGTTTCAGAACCAAAGTCAAAAGGTTCATGGAGGAATATGGAGAGATGTTACAAGAAAATAAGCAGAAACTATTTCTGAATACGCGACACTACATGTCACAAGAAAGTTCACAAGCCAAACAAAACAGTAGAGTAAGGACCATATTTAACATCATTGGGTATGTCGTTTCTGTTTATGGATATATGTATATATATACACTTCCACTGACAAAACTATAATACACACTGGTCAATTCTTCACAAACTTTTTGCTGGTGTTTTCAGAAATAGACATTAACTTACATGACAGCACTTTTTCATCATCAGATTCAATGAAATCAATCGTGTTAGAACATAGTGTTTTTTTCTCGGTCGGTTAGGTAACTGCAAATGTTGCAAACAATAAGCTAGACTTTATGTGACTCTGTGACATTTGAGGTGCGTAACTTATGCTTAATATCCACAATAACATTCAACATAACACTGTGCTTGATATTCATCTTCTTCAACATTTGTTAACCAAAACACCTAGAATTTGTCTATCTTCGACCAAGACATAAAACAAGGGCTCGTAGTGCTGAATTAAGTTTCCATTTCACTATTATTTTAATTATACTCATTTAGGTTGATTAAAAACATCGTTATAGTAACAATCATGTGTAACTTGACTGACTAGTGCGAAACTAGTATTATGCTCATTTATCAAGCTAAGTCAGTACAATTGTAACGATAACGAAATAGAAATTTGAATATATTCTTTGTTGCGGCAAAGAAAGAATGCAAAAATTGCCACATGGCTTATTGAAGCAGTGTTAATACACTTTTAATAACTCAATATACCATATGAATATGAACCTATCCATCTGAACACACAAACATTTATCACTCACTTTACAATTAAATTCGGGTGAACCTTTAAATGACAATCAGATACATTTATACGTTACTTGCCCAATACAAGTCAACAAAAGTGCGTATTGATCCCAAAAATGGGTTGCACACCGTCGGAATTCTGAAGTAAGCCTCCAAAAAAACACATGATCGTGCAAGTATTGTATTTCAACTGTCCCCTCTGATGTAGACGAGCGTAGAATTCTTCAGCAAATGGAGAGAATCACACACTGAGTGCTGGCCTCAGTACAACATCATAACCAATTCCAGTGTAAATTTCTAATAAATACTTCGACACAAGAACTAAACAACGTGAAATTGAAACTGCCGGATGTCATGTCAAAAAGTATGTTCCTCACAAACCTGGCAGGTTCGAAATCGTTGAAGAGCACGACCAAGAGTTTCAAAGATGGCAGCGTTGCCAGTTAACTCTATTTCGTAACGAGTTTTTCCTATGATGACACGTCAATAGCTCATTAAAGTACAATGGTTCAATAAATTTGCATTTGAGAAACGTTCAAAGCTAAAACCCTGTTTCCGCAAGTATAGACGATAATGTTGGACGAAACATTTAATCACATGCAGATCACTTTCAATTGGACCGATCACTTCTGTACAGGAGTCCAAATAGTGCGTCCCTTGTTGATTTCTTGGCCATCCTGGTTCCTGATGACATGTATATAATGTTCTTCATGAGTGTCTCCAGCTAACAAGGCTCCATCATTGAGAAGCTCTTTCTTTGCCCTGGATTCGAGAGTGTCATTCTTTTGAACCTCTCGGCGATACTCAAGAGCGATTTTATGTATCATGTGAGTTTCTCTGAACTCAAGAGGTAAACTCTGTAGGATCAGGCAGAAACATTACTAACGACAGAAGTATACTGTGAAACGACATGCTTGTATGCGTCAGATGCCTTGGGCAACCACTATCATTCATCACACGTTTGATCGGTTGGAAATTACCACATTCTACAAAAAGTGCAATACGAGACGCATCACACGTCTGATACTCTAGCAATTGACAGAAATGAAGTCAATGTCAAGTTAATAATTTAAGTTAAGAACATTATCCAGATAAAGTGAACCCACCTCTATTGTCCAGCTGATATACTTGACATTATTGACGTGTTGATTCATGTCAAGATCTCGCTCTGTTGGCTGCAAAACGTGCATAAGTCAAAAAAAAGATTTCAGAAAGGAAGAAATTGAAGGAAATTAAAAAAATATTAAAAGTTTTGCAAAAACGTTGGTAACACCTCGAAATGCAAGTCCTTGCAAGATTTGAAGTGCTCCAAACTTCGCCCAAAAAGAAATAATTTTCGCAAAAGTAAATTTGATTGAATTGGATTGGATTGGATTGGATTTTCAAACGATGAACACGTAAAAAGCAATCAAATGAAACAAGAATTTTAAAATCCTTACGTAAAGTCCAGTTTTATAGAATTCTGCATCTCCATTAATCTTTGGGATACGCTCTGAGCTTGTTTTAATTCGATCTTCCGACAGAGCCCACCTGAATGCAAACTGTTTAGTGGAAGAGTTTGCTAGCACAAGAAATGAATGAATCTAGCCACATACAATCGCCACGATTAAGAACGCAAGAAGATGAAGGTATCTACCCTTTGAAACTCACTTTGGAGGGTCCCTCGCCCAAGGAGCAAATTCATCTCGTATCGCATCCGTGATCCGCTGAATAGCCTTCGTGTCCATGTTCATGATAACCCAAGTACTAGCAACAAAACAGTTACTATCAGTCCAAAATGCGAGACATTCAAGACTTTTTCAATCACAGCTAACCACTAGAGGAGAAGTTTTTCCAGCGCTTCAACCGATGTTTCAATAAGATTTTTCTCATAATTTCATTTTCTACAACAGAAACAGTAGTTCCTGCAACATTTCCAATACGAGCGAAAAGATCAGGGACACTCTAACAACCTTGTTGCAAATGCAATGATTTCGCCAGATTTCACATCCTTCACCGTCCAGTCTCTTCTGACCGAGTTCCTCCGCTCCGTGCAATACCAAGTGTCTATTTCTAAAAGGTCTTGCCTGCGAGAAAGGAAGCACTATCACAATCAAGAAACTTCAAGAGTGTTCAAGGACAATCGACAAAATCCAGAGGTCCACAGGGACAACTGTGTAGACAAACCTCAAGACATATTTCAAGAAGCCTGTAAGAGTAAAATTCTTCGAGAACTTCTGCATGCGTATTTACCACGCTGGATATCGATCAACTTCGATGTGCATCCGCGTTGTGACTGTTATCAGTCGATCAGACCTTCCTGCGAAGGCTCCATAGCCAATCTTCACAACATGATTGCACGCAGCTTCCTGCATCGGCGGAACATTTACGAGATTGAAATTCAAGCAAACTCACAAGAACAATCCAGATGAAGAGCGATCAGAGTGCCAGAGGAACTGAGGATGGAAAGCAACAGCAGATTAAAAAAATGATAATCCAGAAACAATTATCCTTCTCTGCATGCACAATCAATAAACGCTTCAATCCTACTCGCAAAATCACCACAACTGACAGCTATTTAGGAATTCAGTGCAAAGAATCACACCTGCAGCAACGACGCGAGCATTTCCAACGACATAGTTCCACGACTGCCGACTTCAGAGAAACGCACTACAAAGCGCTCCCTGTAAAAGTTCTTCTCGTCCACAAAGCCGTAGCCTATATGCTCATTAGACGGAGTACTGGCAACGCGTAAAGCCGCCGGCACTGAGTGTGCACCATTTTGCAACTCTTCCACAGGAGGCTCCGCCAGCGTCCCTTCTTTGACAGCCCGCACCTCGCCGCTCGAGCTGATCAACGCCTTCATCGCAGGGCGAGGCCGACATTGTAAACTCGATCCTCGCATCAGCCCTAGCTTAAATGGCTTCTCCACCAGCTGCTCGTTCTTCCACCATGTCGCCTCCAAGGCTCCAAGCGAACCACACGCGCGCTGCTGGATCAATGCACTCCTTGTAGCCATTGCGATCCGTTCCTTTTCTCAAACAGGCACGCCCTCACAAATCCAAACGAATCGCAACAATACGATGCGGCTCAAGGTGCACACAATGCCTGATTACGTACAGCGCGTTGGATTTATTGGAGGACAATAAAAAGTCGCCGAGGTGACGATGCGATCGAGGTCGTCATGCACAACGAGCACAGAATACGAGAGGGAAAATGAAACAGAGGCGGCGGGAAAAACGAAGGCGAACAGGACAAAGTATCCCAGAGCAGCAACAAATAAACAAACAAGCAAACAGAATGAGGAGTTGCTATTACGCGACGAAATCGGGCACAGAGCCACGCCCGGCATTCGCACGGAGACTCCAGCCTGCCATTCCGCAAATATGTTGTGCACGAATGTTGTCGCGTCGCAGGCCAAGCCACCATGCCCACAGCAAAGCCCAGCCCAACCAAGGTGGCTTCGGCGTCCTGAGGATGAATGACATCGGTGCGTCGTCCGTGGATGGACTCTGTCAGACAGCTAAGGATAGAATCTGCGTATCGGATGTGGATGGATTTTATGCGCCGTGGATGGATGTGATCGGTGCATCGATCCCATCGCCGTGCTCATGGGGCCATGCTTCCCTTGGGCTTCGCCCTCTCATTTCCTCGTTATGCTTTTAATTTTAGCATTGCTTGTTTAGCTACACACAAAAAAACAATGTATTTTTGAAGTAGTACAATGTTTCACACCCACTTGGAGTCATAAACCTTCAAAAGGATATAACTTCATCAGCACACGTTGTAATGGAATATATGAGCTACGTTCCCATGCATTTAAATAATGCCAATGACAATGTATGTATGTATTTATTTATTTATTTATTTTTAATCATGAATATAAGTCATATGTCCAAAATGATAATTTGAGATGTTCAATCTATGTTAAACGGTTTGTACTGTATTCTACTCTATCACAGCAATGACTTACTGTGAAATTAAGTATATTAAATCTCTCTCTCTCTCTCTCTCTCTCTCTCTCTATATATATATATATTTTAAATATAAAAAAAATCTCAAAAAATATAAAGACTTTATTTTACCTAGAATATTCAAGTTGAGACAGGACTTTTACTTGGTATCATTACAAGTAAACACAATTTTCTTTGCTAAAAACACAATCAACTATTTATAAAAAGTGAATGAAAATAATGTCAATATTCTTTAAAGTTTGTATATATATATATATATATATATGCATGTATTCATATATAAATTTTTTTATGAATAATAGCTTACATATTATTTTTTGGGAATATATATAAATTCATACAACATAAATATTCATCATAATCTAAAGAACAGATAATTTAGCATCTCCCTGAAAACTAAGAACCTAGTGTATGTTTGCTTATCAAATTTAAAACAATAACAAAGAATAAATGATTCAAAATTATTCATATAAAAAAAATGTATTTCTAGATCTATGCTAAATTCTATAAACCAAGGTGAGATAATATATATATATATATATATATATATATATATCAGAAAAGAAGTGCAAATCTTTTACACAAAACAATATAAAAGACTATACGATTTGCTTGTTTTAGTATTATGGTTCTACTACAAAATTATATTGGTTATTAAAATAAAATAAAATATTGCAATAAAAAATGTGTGTAGATAAACTTACTGCTTCATGATAAAAATGTAATAAAAATGAGATATTACATAAAAAAATTATGTTTATTTATAATTATCAATTTAATTGTATTTAAAATTAATAAAAATAATTTTCGACATAAAATATATTTTTAGTTCAATCAATTATATTATTACGCTATTTTAAAACATATGATATATATAATTAATGATATAAATCTATTTATAATTTTATAATACATCATTCTAATATAATATAGTTTACTTAATATATTATGTATGTTCTAAAAAAAATTGATCTATATTAATATATTTTTTTCTTAAACTTGAAATCCTTTTAAAAACTAGGTGTGGTGGTTGTATGAGCACTTTTAAAAAACATTGTTGTGATGTTAAACAAGAGTTGTAATTAATAGGTCCTGAGCACATCCTTTGTTATCAAAATTTGTATTTGGAGTTGTTTGGCTATCATGTCACTTCCAAAATCAGGTCACCTTGATTGAAGATTTGTGCATTTGTTGTTTTTGTAAATCATTTGGTCAAAAAAGCAAAGAATTGATAGAAGACAAATGATGTATTACAAGAGAACAATCAATTTTTAACACAAGTTAAAGTCATTTTTCTCAAATAACATCTGCAAACACATGACACAATATCATCTTGTGAAGTTTTAAGAGTAGAATCATTTTTGTACAACAAGATTTTTAATAATTGAATTAATTTTTGTCCAAAGTATTGTACATGAAAAGATATATTTTTTTTTGTATAAGAAGATTGTACATAAAAAGAGATGTATATATATATATATATATATATATACATACATATGAAGATTGTCAATAATTAAATTAATTTGACAATGTCACTTCTTTCTTAGCACTTGGCCCATTGTCTCAATGATGGGCTATGAACAAAATAAGAACTGTTCATGTCTAATAATTTTTTTTCACTACAGAGGTTGTTGCACTTCAAATATTATCATTTACTTTAGAAAGAAGTTGCACATCTTTGTTATAGCATGTTGTAATGAGTTCCTCTTGAATATTGTGGTAGTGAGGCCAAAATACATAAGAATGATACATGTTTATTCTTGTAATGATTAATTGTGCCAAGTTGTGTTTGTTCGACTCAAATAAGGTTGCTTCCTTCTTAAATCCTTCCCTCTTTATCTTGTAGTGTCTTAAAACTTTCATACATACAAACCCCAAACCTAAGGATCTATGCTTTGGATAACCTCTTCTTTTGGATTTTACATTGTAAGCATGGATTTTCATATTTGGGATCCATTTCATTGACTATCATGGACAATAAAAAGTTGATTTAACTTTGTTTCATATATAGGAACAAGTTCAAAATATCCTTCATCCACCTTACCTTGGCCTTAGGTTGTGGTGGTGGAAAACTGCTTTCCAGTAGCTATTTCCTTCCAATTAAAATTAAAATCAAGTGAAAGAATCTTATTTACTTTAGATAATGATATTTGAGTTATTTTTTTGAATAAGATAAATATTAATTATTATATTAAATAGTTTTTAAAGTTACAAATATAAAGTATCAAATTAGAATATAATCAAGAGAAAAACTTCCATTTAAATATTTTCGAATTATTTTGAATTAAAAATAATATTCGATAGATGCCAAAAATTGTAGACCTAATAATTAAAAAAATATAATAAAATGGATCATATGATTTTTTAGTGTGCATATAAATATGTTTCTTATTTTTAATAATAAACCATCAAATATAAAATGGAAATTGAACATTCATAAAAAATCCTCTTTAAATTAGAATCTTTTCTTGAAAAAATCTTAATTTCTTTAGAATAAGCTTAATGAAATGCCTTGAAATAAGGCTCTAACAATATTCCTTTGCAAGGTTGCCGGAAGTGCTGCATGATGCAATCTGTGCAATAGAAAATCAATCTTCAATCGTAACAATTACATCAAGGTATGCACTTCAAATTCACTATGGTGAAGGAGTTGCATACTCCTTGGAAATCCTCTATAGAGATGAAGTTTGGCCTTGCGCTAAACCTATAAGATAAGAATATCAACTAAGTTATATTAGCATAGTGCTTGTTTTGTGATAAGCTTGGCCATTCAAAGGTCAATCTCACAAAATAAAAGTGAAAGCAAATAATAAATATAAAAATATTTTTAATTCTTTTTTGCACATACAACATCATGGTATATATGAAGTTATAGCACACCAAAGTATGGATAGAATATAATTTCCTTTCAAATGCCTCAAAGAAGTAGTTTTTTGACCAAGTGAATTTCAAAAACAACCTTGTAGCTCATTTCAAGACCAAAAAGATACTTACATTCATAATCAATCAAGACATTATAGACATGGTTATTAATGATATATTATTCAGTGTTGATGACAATAAAGTTGCATTAACTAATGAATAGGCATTATCAATTTTTAAGTTGATTGAAGATGTAAACAACGACCAAGTAGAACTTGGTAGAAAACAAGATTTGAACTACAAAGCATATAAGATAAATATCAATTCTTTGCAATGTCATGATGTAATACGGTTAATGAATGAAAGAAAGAAGAAAATATTATATTATAGAAGATCTTATTTCAAAATTTTATAACAAATTATCTTAGAAAATAGATAATAGTCAAAAAGATAGTAAAATTAAAGAGTACTATTCTTGATTTTTTACAAAATAGGCTTCTACTTACTTTGTAGGGCCATAAATAAGAAAAAACAAAGTAGAGTGAAAAAGAAAATGATATAGACATGTGTAGGAGGCAATTAAGAGTATATTTTAGTAAAATTTACCTCAAGAAGTTAAGAATTAATACTTAAAGAAGACTAGTTGTCAACCTAGGTCAAAATCAAATCCCAAAGCATAAAACCATACACCTATGGTAACTTTGAGGTTCTTTAGTAGATTAAAAAATAAGATTCGAGAGCAAACTTGCAAAAATATTTTTGGACATTGGTTTTATATCAATCGAGTTAATATTTAGTTTTGAGAGGATTTTTAAAATTAGTAATGTTCTTGGTTGGTTTAGATTTTGAGAAATAAAACTATTTTTATATATTTGAGGATATCTTTAGTTTTGTGGTATGTGTACAAGTAAATTTTGGATAGAGTCTTGGTATGTTATTTTAAAATATATGTGTAAATTTTTAAGTCAATCAAATGATTAAATCAAAGTGTGTAAAAGTTTTTGTAGGTTAAGGTTTCAAAAATTGGAGTTTGAAAGTCAATAAGTATTTTTAAGATCTTTAGCAATTTGTCAATTGGATTGAAGTAAAATACTGATTTATAGAAACTAGACTTGATTTTCAATAGTTTAAGTAAAATTTGGGAGAAATTCAATGGTTCAAAAAAGAGATATTCCTGCTGGAAGTTCAACATTCAAATTAGAGTAGAAGGGCATCCAATATCAAAGCAAATTTTAGAATTTTTCTTCTATTTGGTAAGTGTGATTATCTTTAAATTTATTATATTTATTTTTAACTAATAAATTAAAAATTTTATAAATTTTCAAATAAGATCAATGGTTTAATCAATAGATATTGGGGTTCTAATTTACCGTAGGATTGATTTGAATTGATTAGGTTTTGTTTAAGATGTAGGATTTGTCTAGGATTCAGTTTAGGATTTAGGATTTTTTTAGTGTTTGATTTATAATTTAGTGCTTGAATAAGATTTGGTGTCGGATTTAGGATTTGTCTAGGATTTGATTTAGGATTTAGAATTTATTTAAGGTTTGATATAGGATTTAGGATTTTTCTAAGATTTGGTTAGGATTTAGGATTTAGTTAAGATTTGACTTAGGATTTAGTTAAGATTTGACTTGGGATTTAGTTAGGATTTGATCTAGAATTTAGTTAAGATCCATAAGGATTTCAATTGAGATTAAGGGAGGATTTAATTAAGATTTATTTAAGATTTATTTATTATTTCTCTAATATTTTTTAAAGATTTTGTATAGATTTCTTTTAGATTTTTTTAGGATTTTTTAAAGATCTGCTTATTATATATTTATGATTTCTTTATAATTTCTTTAGAAATTCTTTAGGATCTCTTAATATTATTTTTTTAATTTTTTAAAGATTTATTTTGAATTTGATTAAAATTTAATTAGCATTGTTAAGATTTAATTAGAATTTATTTAGGATTCTATTAGAGTTGTTAGGATCTTGTTGTTCTAATTTCTCTTCTACCTTCTACAACTAGGTGTCTAGTGCATTCTCAAGCAAGACTTCATGTGATATGACATCAATATTGTATTACGTAAAGTCTTGCTTGAGAATGCATTGGGCAATTAGCTATAGAAGATAAAATTGTGTTTTATAAATATCTAAGAAATTCTAATAGGTTTACATATATAAGAAGAATGTGATTTGAATTTTTATTTCAAAAGTGCTTAAATTCAATACAAAATACTCAAAAACACTCTTTTTAGTAACCTCAATCATATATAAATCCCAATTGCCTTATTACTTTTAAAATTAGATAATTTTGATTTCTCTTTACAAGCCCTAATTCTATTTAGTGAGCTTTGGCAAGTTGTAATTTCTAATTTAACTTTTTACTTGATGCAAATTTTTTCATATGAATGCTACTATAAGCTTTGTATATATTCAAAAAAAATTCAACCTAATCCAATTTACAAATTGTAAGAAAAATTCCAAAAATTACATTGATGTCACTTAGCTACCAACTTGAAAGTTGATACAAATGTTCTTGTAGTGATTTCTCCTCCAACCATTAACTTCAATTCAAAATTGGTATATAGCTTGATCTTAAAGTCTTCTAAGATTATGCCAAAATTTCACCTTAATCTAACAAGTAAATCTTTAGATATCATAAAAATCCCACCCAACTCCAAATTGCCAACTTCTAATATCTTCTTGTACTAAAACCCAAATATCTCTCAATTATATCATTAGATTAATTCAAAAGTTTACACATACTTAGCACACATAATCAACCAAGCATAATCAAATTTTGAACTATAGATGTGATACCAATTGCATGAACTAGTTTAGAGTGCTAGCCATAATTGTATTGCATAAATTCCAAATCACAAATATAAACCTTGACTTTGAGTAATAATTGCTAAGTTATTCCGAATCCTATACCTTTAGAATTAACTTAAAGCTAGTTCAGCAATTCTAATTGTTGATCTTCAAATGCCCTCTTGCTTTGCCTTAGGTGATCATTTTAGTGGATAGAGGTTTGATTTTGACCATGTCCCTTGAAAGCTCAACTCCCAGATATCAATGTAATATATTTTAGGGGTTTTTTGAATCCAATCCTACCTTCAACTTAACTCTAGTATCAACCATACTAATTATTTATCTCTTATAATGTGGTTTTACCAATTTATGACCTTTTTAAGGTAGTAAAAGAGTTTCTACAACCTAGAAGGTAAAATTATTAACAAACTTTTAATCTATTAGCTATAAAGATATGAAAATAAACTAAAAGGCTTTTACAAAAGCCATGTTTATATATCTTGAATTATTATTGAATCTAGATAATTATATATTAATTAGAAATTTAATTTTTATTATATTTTTATTATATAGTTGTGTTACAACATGACAACAATTGTTCCATCTTATGATTGGCTTCATCTTTTGTAGAACCTTGTTTTGAATGTTAACATGTCTTGTGGATGTTGCAAAGACTAAGTTGCACATAGGTTGCTTTAATGGATGTAGTAACAACTATTTGGCTTTGTTTATGAAGATGGTTTGTGTTGTGAGCTTATAGAAGATCACTAAGCTCTTCTACATGGAGTGGATGTTTTTGCTTGATCTTGATGTTGGCTTAAAGCAAGGCACCTCTTATCTTAACTTTTGAATCTAATTTGAGTATGAATCAAAATTGCACAACTTCCACCTTTATGTTTTATGTTTTTTCATTTTTTTATTATTTTATTATTTTTTTAAATTTTGTAATGCAATCAAAGTAATCTTTGTTGTAGGTGTGAGCTTTTGGATATTATTACTCCAAAATAGAAGATACAACTAGTTGGAATTAACATAGATAGCAAACGGATGATGATTAGTCAAATCTTTGGCATTGCAACAAAGATGATCAAGGTAGTTGGTGATGGGGTTGTGCGAGTGTGGTGTACTCTACACTAACTTGACCTCGTGGTCCAAATCAAATACATTAAGTTGTATAATGACTAGTTTATTAATATCTTAATGGACCATTATCTCTTATCTTTGCAAACAATATAATCTTATTAAGAAGATGGATTGTACATGTCCAAAATTTATGGACACATAATGATTGTCCATGAAAAAATTTAGTGGATTTTTGTGGCAAGGGCATGTAATAATCTATGAATACCTTGTATAGAAGTTGCTTACATGTATTCCTCTTCCTTCTTGGTAGGTGGTACTACTCGCACTTAATAATGTTACAAAAGTAATCACCATAATTGTGACATACTTGCAAGGATTGAACACCCTTTTGAATCAACAAAAAGTCAAACTCAAAGGCTTGATTCAATTTTTAGTGGATTTATACAAAGTGCAAGGTCCGCATAATATAAAAACTTTGACTATGGCTTACAACATCTTAAATCTTGTCATTTGTGAATCTAGATATATAGCGCTCACAAGTATGGAGGCTTTCATTCAAAATCAAAGCACCTTTGTGATGAGACTCATGGCTTTATTATATGTAGATGAGGCCAAGATTGTGGTTTGTAACATGGTAGTCTTATTTGCTAGGCTTCTCAATGGCATTGCATCCATTGTTATCTAATACAATGGCAACAACAATACCATCAATGAAGAAATTTTAAAAGTGTTGTTCCACAATTTGTGTATACTCCAAACATCTCTATTGTACATTTTCATTCATTGACATAAATTGTGGTTAGAATCAACTGAGTGAGATACTCAATTCATGGAGGATATTGAAAATGACCATTGAGCCATGGTCATACCTATTGCAGGGAGATGACCTTCAAGGATGCCATTGACAAATGCTCCAATTTGCAAATAGAATTTCACATTGGATGGGCTCATTACAATGGCCAATTTCTACAACTTCAAAGTTTTTGTTGTAGATTGGTCCTCATTTTTTCCAACACAAGCACTATTGAATCTATCTTCTTTGAGATCCAATGGAAGAAGAACAAGTAACAATAGTGCCTCATGAAGTTCTTGCTTGAAAATATCTTGTAGTCTAAACAATTCGACAGAGTTTGTCAAATTTGACAAGGATAGATGTTTTTGGACAACTTTGTAGATGAATTTCATCCATTCAAATGTACCTAAAATAATGTTCAAAAACAATTCGGACAGCATCTTGGAAACTGCACATGCAACGGCCCTGTCAATGAAGGCATTTGGAGGAAAACGATGTTGAGTATAAAATTTAACCTAGTGTTTCAACTGAAACAAAGAACTCATGCAGAAAGTGAGAATCGCTAAAGTTCAGTTAGTAAATCTATGATACCTTCACAGCAAAACAAATCCAAATCAATTCGCAGCTTTAAACGGACATGGATAAGGGGCGAAATACCAACAAATATGAGCTTAAATAATCTTTACACTGATAAAGAGTACACATGATGTGTTGGTTGATTCATAGGGTACTCTCCACAATGTTAAATTTGAAGGTGCAAACTCTAGGCTCGGTGCAGCATGCTAAAACCTAATCAGTCAGGAGAGTGGATAAATCGAGAGTTGCAAAACAAAATCTGCATGATTACAGTCTAGACTATCACTGGAGAGGGTTCCTTCTTATTGAGTATGTGTTTTTCATGAATTTGTATGTGAACTACTATGTACATTGTGTAACATTCGTCTCAACCCCTCAAGTTGGACTCATGGCGGGACGCCCGGTCATTTCATCCGTGACCATTGCAGCGATCTCTTCAATTCTGCAAGAAAGTCAAGATGTGATTAATTGCCAGACACTCACATCATCGTTTTAAAAGTAAAGACAACTACAGAAGAACATGATTCGGTCAGAATGCAAGAGCTTACCGCTGCTTGTCAATGTTGACTTCAACCAAAAGGGCTGTCAAATACACCTGTAACCATAACTCCATACATAACAGTCTGTCAGCATCTTAAAAGACGGTAGTTGATGTATGTGTAAGCAATCATTCATGCAATGTGGAGTTCGAATAACATATCAGACAAATCTATGGTTTTTCTTCTGCAGCAGACTAAGTCCATAAAATCAACCGAGACAGGCTCTGGGGATTGCCTGATATGTTTCCCGTGGTACTTCCTCCTTGGATCTCAACTTCAAGTTGTCTCTCAGTTGATTCCAATCAAGATTGATGAATTCGGACTTCGCTGAAAGGTGACGTAGGCCGGAAAAAATTGTCACTCCACTAAAAATTTTGAACTGGTCACAGCCTTCGTTATTTTCAAAATTTAGGACAGGTTCGGCATCGGGATATACGAGTGCTCTAAACTCTAACCATAAAAGCAACTGCAAAATACAGACACCAAAATCAATACATGCGCATGGTGCCACACTCGCAACCCAACCATAAATAAATTAGCTGCACTCAACATGATGCACATAAGACAGATCCAAACGAAGATAAAACAAAAACAGAAAGAGCAGAAAAAAAACCGTCACCTTTAATTTGAGTTCAGTCTCATACATAGCTACCATCTCCTCTGCCAGCTTTTCTGTTCGCAATTGGAGCGCATTACATTTCAATCTCGAATTTTTTTTAACCAAAACGATAAACCAATTCTGAAATAGCCGAAAACTCTACCAGTTTATTCGACCGAGAGACCTGGCCCAGAGCATGCTTTGTAGCAGCGATCAATCAGGACCCAAGTAACAAATACAATGAAGTACAAGGAATTACCACTCAGCGGCCTGCAGGAGTAGTCAGAAAAAAACCAACTCACCAAAGACAGAAAGGGGAAGAGTAGAAAAGACAGGTGCCCCAGCTCCGTCACCCGCATCACCTTCAACAGAAGGCTCATTAGAATACATTATTAGAGGCCCATCTTCTGATCGGTAAGCTCTCATTGATTTGCTTGCCTGGAGCATATTACTTAAAGCTTGGATCTGAATCACAATTTTCAATAAATTAAAGACCATCGACATGTCCTTCACTGAGTTCATCAGGATACTCCACTTTGAGCCATTTCTACTAATGAACATAAAGACAAAAAACACAACACAACAGAAGAAACAAAGCAGACATGACCTAAACCACTCAGTGTTGGCGTAAAGCAAAAATACGACTTCTGCCCAGGTCCAGTTATAGCAGTTCCAATGAACATATTCAAATAAGTACAAAACAATAGGTTACAAACACAAAGTCAGCGAAAAACATGTGATTGTGGGTTTCAGTACTAGTACTCTACATTCCATCGAAACAATCATATGAAATGTACTTTAATTCATCCTGAAGACTCTAGCAAAATCGCTATGAAATGACTCTGAAACGGGATATGAATATGTACCTGAGATTCAAGTTTTGAGAGCAGCTGTGCTAAGTATCTCTCCTGCAAATATTTATAATTATCAATACCCAACCAAGAGAGTTACTATGTGCTCAACGCTGATTTCAACACATGTGTACAACAATTATAGATGAAAAGAAAAAGGAAAAATATTTTCAAGAAGGACCATCATAATCGAATTCGTATTCTTCTGAAGATTCTGGAACTAATACATTGAAACAAAAGCGTCAAAGGAGACGAGATGAAGAACCTGTTGGAGCCCCATCTTGGCACTGGCCTTTTGACAGATAGCCCCCATATTTTGCAGTACGCCCAGGTCCATCGTCGAAAGAAACCTGCAGGGTACTACCATGAGCTCATCTCCGACAACAGATTACTTTAATCTAAGCGAGAAGATCATCAATCAACAAGATTCTCCTCTGGTTCAGAACCTAAGAAAACTGCGCATAAACATCGAATTCGGATTGTGATTTGTCGCAATCGATACAAAAGTAAAGAAGTAAAATAATTGAAATAGAGGAAGGAGAAGAAGTATTTGACCACTAGCGACGTAGTTCAAATACGCTCAATTCACTCACTTAAATACCACAGGGAAAACAGAAAACCAAAAACCTCTCACGGTAGATCATATGGGACCAAGCAGCAAGCAACTCCAGCTGCCTCACAAACCAGTGTTCAATCCGTATAAACCTTACAGCTTCAAGACGAACAATCACAAAACAAGGAGGAACTCACAATTCTCAGCAGGATTCAATCATTTTGATTCCATTACTTAAGATGACCTCCTCCTGCGAGAAAGGCCAACAATCGCAGAGATCAAAGGAGGAGGGAAACAAACAAACAAACAAAAAAATAAAAAAACCCTGTACCGGCGAGACAGAGCGAGGTTAACAAGCGCAGTAGCAGCCTGAAACGAGGCTGATGAAGCACTGGCCCACGCTGCGCGCTCCGAGTGCATTACAGCCCATGCATTACGCACATGCCTTTGCGCTGCTGGTCGCCACAGCCTGGCTACTCCACCACCCGGACTCTGCATGACTCCCTCTCTGCCCTAACTCTCTCACACCAGCACCGGAATCCAGATGGCTTCGATTTCTTACTCGCCCGCATTTGTGCGCTACCCCAATCACAGCACTATAATAAACCGCATGCATCAGTTCGTGCTCAGTGATCAGAACCCACCATCCGCCCCAACCGAATCGTCTCCAGCTGAACCTTCAAAAGCTTGCGTACATCCTCACAGTTTCATTTCACAGCGGACTTTCGATTGAGCATCGATCGAGTCTGGTGGGTGGGCTCAGAAAATTGGACGGAGTTCGTCGATTTCGCCATGAACCGAATTCATCGAAGAGTCTCGATGAACGATGAGCCCACCTCAGACCGCGGATGATTGGAACGTGGGAACGTCGGAACGTCGGACGCTTACCGGAGCTTTGACTTTGGCGATTTCGGTCACAGGATGTGCTACCAGCGCTTCTTCACCGAACCGTGACAGACTTGTTGCTATCGCGGAATTGCTAGCTTAGGATTGTTCTCTATCAATTTTAGCACTCTTACCCCATGCACACGATCTTCGTGATGCGGATTCTCAATTTGGAGCTGCGTAGAGAAGAATCTGCTCGTATTTTGAGAGTAGAAGAACTTGAAGTTGTTTAGAGCCGAGGGAGAGACCTAGTAGGAATGGAAGAACGAATTCTTGTGCGGTTGAGGTGGAGAGAAGGTTTGCATGCCGATTTTGCGCGTTAGGGCTTGGTATAGTATTGGGATACGGGAGGATTTAGGGTATAGCGTAGGTGGGAGAATTTTGGGAGCTGGGTTTAGGAGCGAACTTGAAATTGGGCCAAGATGTTGATGCAGGTGGGAGGCGATGGCGCTCGCCCCACCTTCTTTGAGATGTCGGCGACAGAACATCTTCCCACTAGCTTGCGGGCCGCTTTGCTTTATTTCCTCGGGGTACGTTGCCCCCTTTCTGTCGAGTTTCATCGCAACACATGTTGCTGTTGTTGCTTTTTGCCATGACTTGAGTGACGTTCTTAGAACGCTGTAGAAGTAATTTGCCTCGGAAGTACGTCTATTTGGCAAATTCCCGATTCCCAGAACTTGTGAGTTAGAATTCCAACTGCATTAAGTGAGGTTTCTAGTAATTTGAAGGGACACGCGATCGTGGCTATCGATATGTCAATCTCACGCTGTTTGTTCATAGAATCAAAACAGCTGCATAGCCTCACTTCTTTTTGGATTGCTTGTTAAGCATTTTCAATGAAGGAAAGGCGGTGAGCTATGGATTTATGTCCTGAATTCCAGAATTTCATCATGGTCTGATTGGTCTTGGTGTAATTTATTTAGGTTATGGCTCAAAGAAGACCCATACTACACCGAGTTTTGGATTTTAGTGACGAAGGGTACGCAGCCCTAATGTTTCTTCTGGAGTTTCACAGCTTAAAGACAACAGGTTTGTGTTACTCATACTTTATATTCCCTTCTTGCACAACTATTATTGTTCATTGAATTTGTGTGATCACCTTCATGCCTAATTTCTAATGTTTTTAATTTCAATGACAGATTCTTCGTTTGCTGAATCGCTGTATGGGCTGCGACGAATACCAGCAACAGATGCTCTTCCTCAGCAACAAGGTCCACAAGCAAGTTCCCCAGGCCCCAGGCCCTTGACTGGCAAGCAGAGGGCTGCCTCGGTTTTTTTCTTGGTAAGTGTCACATATCCCTTTTTTGATTGATCAACTTTTTCTAGTAAAAAATCAGAGCAACACAATGAGGATTTTCACATCCAAAAAAACCCTCGAACCTTATAATCAGATTTGAATTATTCATTCTTCTGTTTCCGTGGAGACCCGTGAATAACACGATGCCATTAACGGATGCTTCCGAGACAAGACAATTCTTGTGGGTTTTCGTCTTACCAAATTCATAAAACATATCCTTACAGTTCTGAAGTCTCATTTTAAGGGCTGTTATTTGCGGTGAAAGCTAATCCATGACATTGTATCTTACGCTGCCAGGTTGGCCTGCCATATTTGAAATACAAACTCGAGGCTGCTGTGAATGCACAGAGGGGCGATGCTCTCCAGGCTGCCCTGTGGGGTCGTGGAGATCTGGAAGATGAAGATGTTGATAGTATGGAACCGCCAAGAGAGGTTGACAATGTACATAATGAACAAGTGTTCTTCGGGAGTGGCACTCCCTGGCGAGAGCGGTTCAAGCATATAGCAATTCGAGCACTTGTAAAATGCTATCCATGGGTTCATGCAGCAACAGAAGGTGTGAACCGGCCTTATTTTTTATTTTTTATTTTTTCCTATCGTTTTTTAATTGACAAGGTCTTTCAATTTTTGTAAGCCTTCTTTTTCTAAATGCTCTCTGGCTGTACCCATGGACAGGTGTCTCATTTGCATATCAGCTGCTTTATCTTTTGGACGCCACCCGCTTTTACACGCCTGCTCTTCATTTCATGGGACTTCAAGTGCGCCGCGCCACAGGTCAGGAGCTGGTATGCAACTTCCTCCGAAACTGATTGTTTTTGGCACCTTTTATTACATTTAAAGGCACTACGTGTCGTTCTTAGCATTTTCGTCGTTGCAGAATGAACCCATGGATACTTTGTCCAGTGGTTTGATGCATGTGCCTTGTTACTTAGTAACCTTGAAATATTCGTCTCATGATAGCATCACAATTCTTTGTTGAATATATTCATATGTGGCCAATTAGATAATTGTTTCGCCTCTTCCTGCTGCAGATGGATGCAGTAAAAGTTATCGAAGAGAGACGGCAGCACGAGTTTGGTAGGATCAGAGGACCATCTTACATTCAGGTGAACATTGCTCTTTCCCTTCCAGGCAGTGTTTGATTCTGAACAGTTGTACAGCGTATCATTTGCGAAGAAATATGGTCATCTCCTTGTATTATTGGTGCCTAATTCTCTACTTGCTAAGGTGGAATGTCTTAAACTTACGGCTTCATGGGATACTGTATTGCAGACATTACAGAGGGGCGTCCTTCGTTTTATATATACAGCTTTGGACTACGCGCAGACAGGCCTCATTGCGAGTGTCTTTCTCTTCAAGGTCAGTTTTATGCAAATTAACTACAATCAACTGCAATAAGACTCTGATGCACGTTAAGAGATTGATGTCTGCCAGTGCGAGAAAGTTGGTCGATATTGTTGTGAAAACTGCAACACGTCTTTTCAGTAAGCTATGTACAACAGTCTCTTGATGATTGACTCTTTAGTTTACATCGAACCCCTGTAGGGAATAATTTGGTGGCATTTTAGCCTATATCTCCGTCTTCATGCGTCCTAGCTGTTGCACATGCATGTTGAACTGTGGACTTTGTGGAAACTGGAATCGTTTGTACAGATGGTGGAATGGTGGTACCAGTCTGCAGAAGAAAGAGTGACAGCACCTGCTGTTTATCCTCCACCCCCTCCTCCGCCGCCTCCAGTGGTATGTTTTTTTTTTGCAGTCCAGGAATTTATTGATGTATAAAGTGGGAAGTCCTCTGTGGAATCAAGCTATGAGGATATATGTTGATTTAATCAGTGTATCGTTCTTGGCATTTTACAGGTTGGTAAAGATGGACTGCAATTGCCGGCTGATGGCAAGATCTGCCCTCTCTGCTTACGTTCTCGTACCAATCCAGCAGTGGTGGCGACGTCCGGCTTTGTCTTCTGTTATACATGTGCTTTTCACTATGTCACTCAGGTAATAATAACTTTGCAGATTATTAGTTACGCAAATCTGAGCTGTTGTATTGCAAGCCTATCCATATCTATTAGCAAGACTTTCGTATGTGAAAACTTTCTAATAGTGATCTAATTTTTTGCAGTACAAACGATGTCCAGTTACTCTTGCTCCCACAGCGACCAACCAAATTCTGCGACTGTATCAAGATGATTAATAGCAAGGTAGACAATCTCATTGCAGTCTAGACGAATAATTGGTGACTTTATTTCAGATTTTAGACATAGTTTTAAAAAGATTAGGAATGGACTATCACTCAGAAGAGCTAGTAATCAAAGCTACGAAAAATGATGAGGAGCTCTCAAAACGCCGCAGTGGCTACTTACAAGTTGATTCTTCTTTCAGGAAAATCTAAACTTGGGAATGAATTTGTCCGAGTCGGCATCTTGTAACCATGTTCTCAAAGCTCATGTTACGCACCCGAAATCTACTCTTTTCAATTTACACTTTTGTCCGAGTTTCCCTCCCCTGGATGTTGTGACATTTTCTGAAGTTTGAGTGTAATGTGCACTGACGAGTGATCCCCAAGCAATTTCCTTCGATCCTGCAAGGATATTAATACCTTCCAAGTCCAGTGTTGGCGGAGAGTATAGATGCATCCTTGCTCTCAGAGCTACAACAAAATCATTTTACAACATCCTGTTGCTGGAGTGTATCCATCGGAGGCCTTGGAATAATTTTTCTAATGTATCAATATGATTTATGGGGAAATGTTGCTTCTATTTTTTGCACAAACACAGTACACCATTGGTTGTCACATGTGATGTTGAGTGTTGTTTTTTTTTTTTAATACAAAAATTTAAGAAGGGATGATGAAGTGGAAGATGTGAAAGATGAAAGTTTATAGGAAACATGTCTATTAATAATAATGAAATGTATAATGAATTGACATGTTTATAAAAGGATGAGAAATAGGAAGTCATTTACATTAAAAAATGGAAGAGTCCACCAATAATGGAAGAATCTACCCTGTTCCCCATCTTTGTTGCATATCCACCACTTGAATTAATCTCTAAATAATTTTTAGTCAGTTGATAGATATTTCATTTTCATTTGTTCAACAATCCTCTATAAAAACAACCTTATCTTTCATTTTCCTTGTTTTGATGCCTCCTAACATATACAGTTAATTTTCTTAATCAAATGATATATTCATTATGTATTGACTTATTACCAAGTCAAAAACCTTCAACACAAAACATCAAAAAGTTATATTTTCTACAAGAATTCATCAAAATGTCTTCAACTCCAATAAAAGTACCAAATATAACATAACCATTCCTACAACTCACTACACTAATACAAACACGAAGAGACAACAACAACAGAGCACACTCGCAAGTGAAGCCAAAAACAACAAGAGGAGGCAAGCAAACACAGTCGGAGCCGCAATGTTGCACTAATGCAACGAAATCGTGCGCGAGTTCTGCGTTGCCTTCGTCGTCGATGCGTTCATGTTCGTGTAATCCTTAGCTGTTACTCCCGGAGCCGATTGCCAGAAGAGCCTGTTGTTGTTGCTGCATTGCGAGGGCTTGTGTGTGTGTGTGTGTGTGTGTGTTTGGTAGTGTGTTCGTTTGACGCTGCGTGGAGGAGACGAAGGGGAAGCGAGACGTGATGAGGGGAGATAAGGTCGTGGTTGTGAGTGTGTAGTGATGAGAAGGTGAGAGGTTAGATTAGCTCGGCTGACCTGCGGAGGATACTTCCCTGGATCATTAATTGAAGTGCGATGCCGAGCTCTCCCGTGCGCGCGTCGCTTGGAAACGAGCGACTATGGGCGTTTGAGGAGGAGCTTGACGAGAGGGCAGGACAGCAGCAGCAGCAGCAGAAGGTGGTTTTAGGTGTGGATGGAGGTGGCACTTGCACCACGTGCGTATGTGTTGCGGCGCCTCCGCCAACGAACGGCGATAATTTGCCGTATTTGTCCCGGGTCGAGACGGGATGCTCCAATTATAATAGCGTTGGCGGTAGGTGCTCTTTTGTACCTGTCTTTTTCGTGACTCTATGCGTATTAACGATGTGACCAGGATCGCGATGGAACGTAATTGTAGGCACATTCTTTTTCTTCTCCCTTTGCTTTTGTTTAGGATTTTATGTTTTGAAATTCGAATCCTTAGGTAGCCTTGCCGATTCGGTATTGGGAGACCTAATGATTTATGTCTGCACGACTGCCTGGGTGCACTTCGTCTAGATCCGTATCCTTCCGCCGATGACATTAATTTTCCGTTTCCAAATTGGAATGCTCTTAAGGATTATGATCAAAGAGTTGTGCTTATATCAGCGGAGCCTGTAGTTTCTGTGCATCTTTTTCTAGTCGGTGGAGGGTTTTTTTTTCAAGGAAATGAGGTAGCGGCGATCCGCGGTAATTTAGAATTGGAATAATTTTCCAATGGTGTAGCCTGGCATGCTGCTGCTTGAATCAATTTTTTTTCTGTTCCTCGAGATGGTTGGAATGAGTGTCATGCAGTTACGATGCAACGCAGTATCGCGGTCTTTATTATTTCCTTTCCCACAATGCCTAGTCGAAAGCCTTTCCAGAGCAACATGTATTGTGCTAGAGCTTGTTGGACTTAGCAACCGAGTGCTTATTATCGAAGAATAATGAGAATCAGTTAGATTATCTTGAAGCCGGTAAAGAATTGTTGTTTGTATGCACGACTGTTCCGGTTTAGGAACAGCGTGAAGTGCAGCTTCACAGAATTGTTAACAAAGGTTACGTAGTACGTTCCTTCCTATATCGAGAGATATTTAAGATTCAATTAGCATCAGACTGTTGAGATATTTGTAGAAAATGACTAAAGGTTCTCGAGGGTTTGGGACCTGTTTTGATTCTCAGTGGAGGCTGCAAGGCGAGCTATCGAGGAATCAATGGCTAGCGCGTTGAAACAGGCTCAAGTACCTCGATCTGCTGTTCTGTCAGTGTGCCTGGCCGCTGCTGGAGTTGATCGGCAGGTGGACATCGACGCTTATCGGGCATGGATGAGGTGCGGCTCACCCTCGTATTAACAATTTGTTTGCCAAACATCATATTTTTTTTGCGCAAGTAGAATGTTCATTATGTATGTGTTATTGAAATGTAATTGTTAGGCTTTACCTTTTCCTTTTGAATTCTTACTTTTGGGGTTCTTGGACGAACTGATCCATTGATCAGAAGAAGGGAAGTGGACTGGGTTAGTAACTTTTACTTGTGTCTTTTGTTGATTTATACCTTCCTTGATGTCCCTCTCCTCTCTAAATCACCGCTATGCTATATATATATATATTTTGTCGAAGCTGTACCTTACGGTGTGGTGAAAGACTCAGGAATCACCTTCATTATTGATTATGTCTTTCAGACCCGAAATCATAGTTTTAAATCCTACTGAACTGTGGCAGTGAAGTATTTCCCCAAGATGTAGAGATATTTGTACAGAACGATTCTGTTGCGGCGCTCGTCAGTGGAACCGCCGGAAAGCTTTACGGCTGCGTTCTCGTCTCCGGTACGGGAACCATAGCTGTGGGATTTAATGAAGCAGGCAAGTTTGCACGAGCATCAGGAGGAGGCCCTCTGCTTGGAGATCAGGGCAGGTTGATTTTGACTCATCATTTGTGATATCTTTAGCATGTATCACTTGTAAATCATGTTAAATAAAATTTTGACCTGTTTTTGTAGGAGAATATTGTAGCATAGAGTGCTGCTATATTCTGGAAAGTGCTTAATGAAAGTTATCTGTTTTCTATGCTTTGAAATATCAAGATACTTATTATTTGAGACTCTCTGCGTTATCTGCCCAGTGGTTACGCAATTGCATCGCAGGCTCTTACAGCAGTAATGAGAGCAGAGGATGGGCGGGGTCCACCCACATCCCTCACGGGGGCAATACTGAAGCGATTGAACCTCTCCTCAGCTGAAGATTTAATTGGGTAAACATACTATGCTTTGAAGTTATGCGTAAGGTGCATTTACAATCGGTTTCATAGCGGGAAATTCTCATTTTCCTTATCTTTTTAAATCATTCACGATCAACTGAAAAATATACTGACGTCCAGTTGGGCAGCTGGGTTTACGAGGACACTTCCTGGGCACGTGTGTCTGCTTTGGTACCTGTGGTGAAGAGTTGTGCTAGAGATGGTGATACCGTGGCTAGAGGACTGCTTGAGAATTCTGTTTCAGAATTGGCTTGCAGTGTAAAGGCGGTTGTCAAGGCGCTGGGTCTTGATGGAAGAGGTGATAGTGCATGATTGTTTACGTGTTGGATCGTGTGTAAATGCTCTGTTTTAACTCTTACTGTGTCACTGGGAGTGTGCTTGAATGAAATTGTCTTGTGATGCACAGTAAAAAGGAATTCAGCAACGTTTAATGTTTTCAATTCCTGTGGTGCTTCTTTGAATTCGTTACCTTCGCCTTCAGTTTACAATTTAGACGAATGACTTAAAGTTTCTGTGTGAATCCTTTATATATACATATATATAGATGTGTGTGTGTATGTGTGTATGTGTGTCATTCTTCATTTTCATTACATGCTATCATGCAGTCCGTGATTATTTTCCTACTGTATGTCATGTGCAGATGGAAGGAACTCCTTCCCCTTCGTGATGGTTGGTGGTGTATTAGAAAACGATAATGGTTGGGATCTTCGTAGACCCCTTGTTAATAAGATCTTGGGAATGTTCCCTGGAGCCCAGCCAATTATTTCCAAGGTGAGAATTCACCTGTCTTTGATGCAAAGTTTGAGAACTAGAGTCACCCGCAGAATTCATCACATATTGTTATAATCGTATGTTCTGCATAATAGGAACTTGTTAACTGTTCAGGCGCGAAGGATAACTTAAGCAACTGTTCAAAGCCAGGTTATACATTCAGAGCGGTCAGTGGATAATGTGCATGCAGAAATCGACACATGTAACAATTTTGCTTGTAGATCATGTGAGGATTTCAACAACGTTCTCTACTGGAAAATGCTATTTCGAATCTTAATATTTACTGACCCATAACGATCTTTATTTCACTTTCAGCTGGAGCCCGCACTTGGGTCAGCCATGCTGGCGTGGAGTCGGTATGAGGATCGCCACTCCAAGACTGCCCAACCGACTACGGAGCATGGTGCATTGGGGATCGTCTAAGGAGTTTTGAGCTGATACGTTGTTTTCTTCACTGACTGGTCTCGCATATGAGCCAAGGAATAAGTCTACAATTGCAACACTCTGAACATTTGCTGCAGTCTTTGGGTAAGAGGCATGTTACATGGAAAGTCATTTCGATTGGTTGCTCTTATATCTCCATGTCCTTCTGTGCAACAAATTACCATGAGCACAACTGCATCAAGCAAGGCATGAAACATGTCCAATTGATGGTCAATTGTTATGGTTGCACTAATAATGTAGATGCTATTACAAATTGCAACAACCATTGTACTATCAACCAGGACGCAAAAAATGCGCAGAAAGAGCGCCAAAAAATGTGCTGTCTTGGAGGATTAGTAAGTTGCCAATTGAAATGAAGAATGAGTCTCTGAATGGTCCAAAATGTTCGTTGATATAGGACAATCTGAATTCTAAAAATATTTGCCAACCTTGGTTGGAGGATGCTTTCTATTATTGCTGAAAAGAGTTATTGATTTCAAATGTATTTTTGAAACATGTAAGAATAGTTGCTTTATATTCAAGTGCGTTGTACGGTAATTTGAAAACAGTTGATACATAAATCATTGAATTCGTAAAATTGTTGGTTTGTCCAATGAATGAAATGATCGTAGAACAATTAGACTATTTTGTGGTTGTTTGTTTGTCTGTTTGTTTGTTTTTTTACTGAATCCTAATTAGGTCACTTTTTTCTTTTTGTTTGTTAAATATTGTTGAGAACTATTCAAGATGTTTAATGTAGAAAAGTTGGAATATCTTAACTTATAGCTTTTTAAAAATTGCTTTGGAAACAATGTATACTACATGATTATAATTTAGACAAAAATTAGCATCCAACTATGGTAATTTATAAGTAATAATTGTGAAGAAAAGAATTGGGCAAGGTTTTCTTTCTATAGGATAAATAGTAACTTTGTTTACATTTTGAGAAGAGTTGAATAGAGTTGATTACATACAATTTAATAAACACCTATAAGTATAAATTTGTGATAAAGTTGATTTTTATATAAATAACAACTTTGAATACAAATTAATATCAAACAATAATAATAGCACAAAAGTACATGTATAATTGCATAAGAAAGTTTTATAGAGACAATGTCTTTGCTAAACAACCTTGGTATATATAGAAAAAAAAACTTATTAGAAATTTTCAATTAGGTTGTAAGATTAACAAATAAAACTAAAAACTTTATAAAAAATATTTGTATTTGTGTAGAATTTTTATGTGTATTAAAATAATCTAAAGATGATTTAATTAATATATTTTTATTTATACACACATAAATAAATAAATAAATAAATAAATAAATATATATATATATATTAAAATATTGGTAGAATTATATTACTTATTTTGCAAGGTTTTTTATGTCATGCATAAGATTATTTAATACTTTCTTATAAAATAGTTAAAAAAATTTAATCTAAATTTAAACATAATAAAATTAGTTATAAAATATATTTTATTTAGATTTAAGTCTAGTATTAATTAATAAATTATATATATATATATATATATATATATATATATATATATATATTTATGTGTTAGAAATTTTGGATTTAAAAAATATTCTTATAATTTCAATAATCATCTTTAATTTCGTTGATGTTATTATTACTACTATTGCTGCTACTTGTTATTTAATGTTACTAATACTATTGATTTTTACTAATTTCTACAAATGTAAATATATATAATATTAATTTTTTATTTAAAAAAATTATTGAAAAAAATAATAAATTTTTATATTAAATTTTATCATTGAAATATTTTGCTTGATATTTTATATAAAATACTTCTAAATTTTTAAATATAAATTAAATTTTAAAAAATATTAAATTAACTATAATTTTCACAAATTTGATCTACCTATCATAACCATCATCACACCTCCTTGTCTCTTGTCTCTGTTCCCAACTCTCTTCTCTTCTCTCCACCTTCTTCTTCCATCATTTTTCCTAGGAATAAAAATTGCATGAGAAGTTGATGAATTCTAAGAAATAAGTGTGGAGTTCTAAGTTTTTCAAAAACTTTGCAGAGTAAATAGAAATCTTAAAAATTCTTAAAACTTTGTTAAAAAATGGAAGAAGAGGTGGCCACAAAGCTTATGAATTCCACCTTTAAAACAATATTTATACTTATTTCACCTCCATTCCTTCTTATTGTGCACTTCATGATTTGTGTTGTATTATATACTTAGAGATTGAAATTTGGGGTTTTTGTAGACAACTTATGAATTTTTAAATTGGATTTGTAGGAAAGTTTGCAACAAAAAGCTTAGAGCAAAAAAAAAAAAAAAAAAAAAAAATATATATATTTTGGAGGTAATGCATATAACAAAATCACCATGTCTTATTGAGGTGGTTGTTTCTAATGTGAAGAGCTTTCTTGATAGTAAGGTGACACGCTGTCAAATATCTCTTGTACTTTTTTAAAAAGATTGTATCTCTTGTATTGGTAATATGACCCGATTGTGCAAGACAATAAGAGTAGAAGGCAAGAAAATTCTCCCACATTGTTTTACATGTTACATTGTAGTGCTTTCTTATATGAAAATGTTTCCAAGGTGAATGTAGAGCTATAGTGTGTCAAATGGATCTCTATCTTTGGCAACACTTCCAAAAGTACTAAGTTAATTAATCATTTTTTTAAAAAAAATCCAATGACATTAGGTTTAATTGTTTGCTTATGCTGTAAGAACATGTAACCAAGTATTTTGTGAACATTATGTCATTTTATTAAGTATCAACTTTCAATATCATTAATTTGTTTTTGTTTCCAATCAACAAAAATTTTTGAGGCAAATACTTTGCATATGATTTTGACTCAGATTGTTGGAGCATTAGCATTCTATAAGTGCGCATAAAAGTTTATCCTTATGTTTGAATGAACTTGCTCTATTAAATTAGAATTGGCCATAATTAATACAATCTAGTATATATCTCTCTCAATAAGTGCTTGTAATTTTATCTCAATAATAAAAAAATCATTTTTTTTTTTTTTTTTTTTTTTTTTTTGTATTTTTTTATGATATCAACATGGTATTAAAGCAATTATTTTAGGTCTTACGTATTGTTCTCGTCTACAAGTTACAACTTTTGCATTGTAATAGGTGGCATAGTTTTTGCTTAAGTAAACTATAGTACTCAAATAGAGCAAAACAAAGAGATTAGCATTAGTATAAAACTTGAAGGTTTGTCTAGCTACTCTATTTGGGCTTTTAAGTTGAAAAAAATCATGTTTAGAAAGAAAATATGGAGAGTGGTAGAACCACCAAAAGTAATTAAGAGAAGCAATTTTTTAGCAATTTCTTTGATTGGAGTAATCAAAAACTTGCAATTGTACATACATTTTTTGAGTACGAGATTGACTGCCATGAACATTGCTGCAATCCAAGAAATAATAATTCTTCTTGCTTCATTATCAATAGAAAAAAAAATATATATAATTGAAGATGTCAAAAATAAGGCCTTAGTTTTTAGTACTCTTTTGATAAAAGACAATGTCATATCTCATATTATATAATTTTTTGATCTAGCTCATGCTTAGATTTTTATTTATTTATTTTTATTTATTTATTTATTTTTTTATTAATAAAGGTTTAATATTAGATACCTCATGCTAAAATATAAGTTATATATTAAAAAATTATCCATTTTTTTTTTGAAGAAAAATATAAAAAATATCAATATTCTATCAAGACAACTTAATAGTATTGGAATAAAAATAGAGGATATAAAATTAATTGATATAGTACTAAAAAACATGCAAGATAGCTAATTTATTTTTGTTCTTAATGATTGCAATTAGGAAAGTTTTGTCTACCTTTTAAAAAAGAGAATCAATGAATCTTGAAAAAAATGGACATCTTATGCAATAGAATTAAGATAATGGAGAAGCTTTCTTTACAAATTATAGTCATGGTTATAACTAATCCAAAGGACAATGCAAAAATCTCAAAGGTAGTAGTAGTGGACTATCTTCATTCTATAGTAGATGCTTTAACTATTAGGACAACTCTAGCAATAATTAATATCATAGTTATGAGAAAAATCACAATACTTGTACATTCCATGAAAAAGACAAAAGGATCAAAGACCTTGAAGAGCATCTAAAGGCTATGGAGATTGAACTAAATAGATGAAATTAATCTACCAACAATTATATTAACATGATTGAAAAAAATGATTTCAAACTTGAAGTTGATGTTACCAAAATACTTGAAACTTGTATGGCTGAGATTAAAAGATCTTCTACCAATTGGTATCTCGATTTGGATGCAAGCAATCATATCATTATTGATAAAAATCTAGTCACTAATATAGTTACATGACCTACAATTCAAAATATTATTATTGCAAATGGTGTAGGTTTTTTTGTAGCTGAATAAAATATCATGATGCTAATCAAAATTAAAGCTGTGAAACAAGTTCTTTATATACCTAGCATTTGTAAAAATCTATTTTTTGTAGAATTTTTTTATAGACTAAAAGCATTTCTTTTCTTTTTTGACAAAAAAAGTTCTACATATTAAAAAAAAAAATCTTTACAAAATTTATTTCACAAGAATTAAAAATCCTTGAAATAACCTCTATTGCTTATAATATAATTTATTATATCAAGAATTGGCTTATTTAGATTGTAGCCAAATATAAGAAATTATCTATTTTAGCTTGAAAAGCAATGCTACCAACATAATATAATCTTAGTATCTATATACTTAGGTAATATTAAAATCAACCATTAATCTTTGGCATCAATATATTTAGTTTCTTAATTATCAATCTTTGTATCATCTCTCCATTTGCAATATGATAGTAAGACTTCTTTGGCTATCTTTTAGAATTTTTTTTGTGATACTTATGTAAGGCCAAACATCATTGTAAGAGATTCTTAGAGAAGAGTGTAATACAATGCCTTTGACAAATATAATTAATCCTATTAAGATTCCTTATATATTGGGACACAATACATACTGATGTTTATTAATGATTTTTTTTTCATTATACATGGATTTACTTCTTATGTTACAAAAAGAAGACACTCACAAAGTTCAAAGACTTCTAATCCATTGTCAAATGTAAAAAAATTCAATAACTTGGTTGTTTTCAATTAATTTAAAGAAGTGAGTACTTATTTATCAATTTTTTTTATTCTATAGATATAATAGTATATAACATCAATTTATTTCTGCTAAAACTTTTGAATAGAATAATAAAGCCAAACGTGAAAATTTTAGCCTATTGAAAAAGATTCATATTTTAAGACATGACTTATTCACATTCCTTTGAAAAGAATCAATTTAAGCTACTAACTATATCTAAAATTGATGCTTTGCAAAAGCTCTTAGTAAAATAATACCTTACAAAAAGTATAAAGGTATTAAATTAAATTAAACATACTTATGATTTTTTGGTTGTATTGCCTATATTGTCATATTAAGTAAACAAGGATTAAAACTTGATCCCAAAGCCATCAAATCTATCTTTATTCTAATGAAGTTAAAGCATGTGTTAA